TATTTGATAAAAATATAAAACTTCTCCACCCTAGTTACATTAACCATTTTCCTAACTAATAAAAAAATTAAATCCTAAGTACTACAAACTCTGGTTTAAGAACAACACTTATGATTAAATATTAAAAGGCATCATCCTTGTGATACATGTCTATAGACTTAACCTAAACAGTTCAAATAATAAATTATATAATAAAACTGTTGTTGAATATATCCTATGGTGTTTTGTAAATTAAAACAAATTAAGTCTTGTGAAAAGATACTGATAATTCACATGTCTAACCCAAATCCCTGACTGTCTTAGTAACAAAGCAAACACTATACAGTACATCCAAACAATTACTAGTAGACTTTTTCTGTCTTTTTTCAAATAGACTTCCCTCACAGCTGCCATTTCTATACCTTGGACTGGCTTCTGTTCTCTCAAACCCTTTCCTTGAAAACATGCACTACCTGGCATAATTCTCCTGACATTCTCTCACAAACTATTCATCTTGGCACAGAATTCTGTATACCCCATCTTTTCTTACCAAGAAACCAAGATCCCTGCCCTGGTTCAACCATTCTTGCTGAGTAACATCCAAACACCATCAGCCCCCAACTGACAATAGGAACATTTCAAATTGAAAACCTTATGACTACTGTAGACTAACTTTTTCTGAACAAAAGATGAATGATTTGTATCCTCAGTTATAGCTTACAGTGGTTCAAAAGAAGACTTTATTTTTTTATTCTAAATGTTTCAAAATTCTCTTTGGCCCTTAACAACCAACACAGCTCGCATGAGGATGTTGATATCTTTCTACAATCTGGTGTTAATTTTGACATGGAATTAGCATGAAACTTCAAGCCCAAGCTTGATAGTCCTCTCAGTAGGTCACTTTCATCATTCTCTCCTAGCCATAAAAATTTAGAGTTATGACCAAATGCTTAAAAGTCGAAGGAAAATTTGGAAAAAATGCAAAAAATAGACTTTGCTTGTAAATTGACAAGACCAAAAAGCAAACTATCACAAAAAAATATATTGGAGAAGAATATATTAGCACTTGAAAATAATGAAGATGAAGCCTTTATAGGCAGTGAGAAAGTATAAAACACAATGGTTGCAAACACATTTAAATTGTATAGGCATGAAATGTTTAGTAATGGTAGCTCATTACCATACATTTATAATTTCTTGGAAATATAATATGTAATACATGATATGAATTTTTGAGAATACAGTATTATACAGTTTAGAATTTCTAAACCTGATAAAATTGTTGTACCATAAGTAGAATGAAATAAGGCAAATGATGAGCTTTAGTAGTTTGATGAACTGATGGGTGAGAAAATGCCAAAGATTAGCATGCTGAAAATAAGTGGTGAAAATAATAACAATATAAGAATTTAGTCTGAAGAAAAGTGCTTAAGAGTTGTCTTAGCTGGTACTCAAGGCTTAAGATCAAATACAGTTGGCCCTCGATATTTGTAATGACTATATTCTTGAAAAATTTTGTGAATGCAGAATTCCTGAATATAGAAACCTTGGTTTAATGGGAAAAAGGGGTTTAGCTTTTTGTTATGATTGAACACAAGGGGAAATGGTAAATATTTAAGAACAATGACAACAATAAACACTGAACCTATAAATACAGTGAAACCTCCCTCTAACGGACTATATGGGGGGGGGGGGAGCGTAGTCCATTAGATCAAGTACAATAGCACATGCCACACATAGCAATAGAAATAAAATAAGTACAAACTAAATTGTATTCTACACTATAGTACTGTACAATATTTACAAGTTTCACAGATTCACACTGTTATTTGCAAGGGTAGTTCTGTACAAACTAATTATTGAAGACCAAAAACAAAAATTCTATAGTAAATAAGGATAATAGCAACACCTGCACCCCACCAGTGGTAGTCATCAAGACTGGTGTGAATAAGTTCTGGTCTACCCTGTTTACTCAGGAGCAACATGATTTAATGTTAACTTTTTTATGCAAAACACTGAAGAACAAGAAAAAGAAGGAGAACATACAGTAAATATATGTCAGATGAAGTCTCACTGTAATAATATGTTATGAAATGTAAATATTTTGACTTACCTTTGATGATGACATTGATGATTTGAGGGATTTAGTGCAACAGTGACAAAGGCACCAAATTTCATTTTCCAGAAAACATTTGTTAAAGTTTTAAAAACATAATTAACCATCAAATCATGAAATATTTATTGACTTTGATGGTACACAGGAAGTGAATGTACTGTAGTTTTACCCTCAATATACTTTTGTATTATTACTGAAGATTTTATTATCTGGGTTCTTTGTGACAACATTCCACAATGTTCATTTTTTATTGTGTCAACAATCTGTCATTGTTAGATGAAGGAAATAAATAGGTGTATCAGGTACAAGAGATATTAAAGTATTATCACTGCTGGAACAAGAACCCAATGAACAGGTATTGATAAAGAAGAACTGTAGGCTATGGTAGCTAATATTTTTCATGTTTCATGATAACAGTTTTGCTCCCAATAAGCAAGGATCTCAACCCCCTTTAACATCCTTCATGAATACTGGAGGTCAGTGGTTGTGAATGAGGGTTCAAATATAGTTACTAACTTGTGAACAGCGAGGGCCGACTGTACATGCTGAATACTATGACATGTTAATTACCAAAAAAAGAATGATAAATTATAAGTTCTCATCATTGTTCTCTTGTCTGTATTACTTTATCAAAATTAGATGAGTAGAAGCAGATGCATCCACTAAAAGATGATGTTAGTGTAATGAGTGTACATCGAGTAAAATTCTGCTCAGTGTCTGTTATGCAGGTCGTAAAGTGCAAGTTTTTCTCCATCACATTAAAAGTAACAAAGTTCTACAAGCCAAATCTTTATGAGCCTTCTCCAAACACAATTGTCTAACTATCTATCATAAGTTTTAATTAATCTCCATACGAATCATACTATTGTATTTACCTAATCATTTATCAGAAGTAAACATTAAATCTGTGAAAATAATTTACGTATTCTTTTATCATCAATTAGAAACATGTGAATAATGTAAAACATAATAAGATACTGTATATATTAGTAACTGATAGGCTTACTACAGTTAACAATATAAAATACTTAAAGGGGTTAAAAGGACAAATATTCTCACTAAAGGTGTTTTTGTATCTGTAAAAATTATAACTAACATTACTAATGGTACTTTATATATCTTTCATTATCTAAATAAACTCGGACAAAGGAATAACACAGAAAAAACGGGCTAAGTCTCTTTCCTATAAACAAAGCACAGAAGTATGAAAATGAATTTGTGGGTGATTCTAATGCATTGAACTCAATACATTTTTATGGATCAGTAACATGTTGCATTACTGTATTTTCCTTCTATTTCTAGTCAGAGTTAAGCACTGTAGGAGGGGAAATATGAGGTTATATTGATCCAGTGTTACTAAAACACCTGGTCATAAATAGAAATTACAGCCAAACATTGAAACTTCTCAACATACAAGGTGAAGAAGTTACATGTAAAGCAAAAACTAAATAAAATATGATAGGCACATGAAAAAGTAAGAAATAACACCACACACCACACCAGGGTCATCTTGTGAGTGTCATAGAGAAACAGATAACTGGTAAAGGAGAGGGCCAAGCAATTCATGCATACTCTACCTACAAGCTAAAAGCCACATCACTGCAGAATTACTATGAGAGGTTTGTGACAATTATATATATATATATTCTTTTATGAAACTCTTGAAACAAAAAGAAAGATTTGTATTCTTAACCCCCCCCCAAAAAAAGCCTCAGTATCATATACCTTTTCTTTAACAAATTCAACACCTAGGTACACCATTACTGGAACCTCCGCAGAAGAAATTTTATCATGATTCGACAATAAACATTTTATTTAATAATTTTCCTTCAATCAATATCAAGAACATTTATAAGAATTGCGTCAGAAAATAAGTTGATTTTTCATACCGTAGTGACTAATATTACAGTACTGTATACAGTACAAGCTGTACTTGTCTATCGACAGCTATGTTCATATTTAGTTACGTATACTGTATTTGTCGTGTTGTAGAAGGGAACACAATTTTTAAATGAAAAACATTAAGGAAAAGTATTTTGCTAAACACAACGAATAAGAGATATGTTGGGCACTAATAATTTGAATGTCAGGACTAGAGGTTACAAAAATTTAAGGTGGTGATGAGAGACGACGACAATTTGACTTATTCCATGATGAGTGTACGGTGGAATGCAACTGCTTTAAGATGGTTTGCTGTTCAGGCAATTGCATGTATGCACAGTACTATCATGTAATAAATATAATTTTTTTATCTCATTACCATTGCATTTACATGTTAAAGTATAGTAAACAATGTTATCGTTTTAATATTATCTGCCATCGTTTGCTACATTTATAATGCCAAATTCATCCTGTAAACAACAGATAAAATACAAAAGCCAAGAAATGTACACACACATATTCAACTGCAAAAAACAGTACAGTACTGTATTTACCAAGTGTTAAGAATTACTAATCATAATATCTTCTCTATCCCTTGCCATCACTGGAGTTAGGTCTGACTGAAGAAAATGAGTAAATGAGTGAGTAAGGGCATCACAGGTCTACAAGAACACATCTACAAGGCTACAAGGGTGCATGTGCTTGACTTGCTCATGATTTTAAGGTGGAGAAACAGACACTTTAAGAGATTCAGAAGTTCCTAGTGCTTAAAGTACACCTTTTTATGAATATTCAGGTTCCTGTAGACATACCACAATTTTGTATGCATTGTTATAATGTTAATTTTTATCAACACTCATCACTGTGACTGTAAACAGAACCCAACATACTATGACCAGAAACAACATGGCTTACACTGAATGTAAGATAAGTCAAGAGCTTTTCCCTATTTCTCACCTTGAAATTCATGAGCTAATATTTATATTTGCTGTAAACATGTAACTCACTCCTGTGATAAATTTACCTTGAATAACTGAACTCCGATAACTGCAAACATAAACTCAAGAAGGCAGGTAACCAGCATGATGTTGCCGATGGTCTTAATAGCCACTATGACGCATTGAACTACATGCTAAAAGTTCCAAAGGAGTTTCCAAAGGCCACCAGCAAGGGAAGGGAGAAAAGAATATTGGTAAAAATTAATAACAAAAATAAATAATGGATATATTTGTTGGTTGTGACTTCTTGTAGTAGATATTACCAAATACCTGTAAATAAGCATACAAAATTAAACAAATGATGTTGCTATTTGTAACTAATATGGAAATTAAGATAACAAATTATGTCAGTAGCCCATTCAGCAATATACTTTACATATTAACAGAGACATTAATGGTTGCCCTTCGTGTTCGAGGATGGCCCGCTCTTAGGGCCACCTAGGCGTGAATTTGTTGAAGGTGTAGAAGCTGTCGCCAACACAACAACCACACCTTAAGTTAATGAGTTGCATGACCCAGTGACAAGGAATAGTCCGAGAAGACCGGACAACTCGCCAACTGCACTAGCTGATCATTACCCCGGAACACGATCCACAAACCTATCAACATTCAGGTCCCCAATTACTGCTGGGTAGACAAAGGCAAATGGCGTGAAGAAACTTGCCCATAGTTTCACCCTGTCCAGCAATCAAACCCGGGTTCACTCGTTTGCGAGGCGAGCATGCTGACCATTACACCACAGGCAATAATATGTACACAAGAGATATACTGTATATCACTACAACAATTGTATCAATGAATTTAATAACAACACTAACACAATACATCCCAAATATGAAATAATCTAAACATCAGGCAATAAAACTTCACTCTATATTTTTCATCATTGTTAGGCAATGGAGGTGGTATCCCCTGGCTTTAAATACAGGAATGATACACACACACAAAAAAAAAAACTGTGACCAAGCAATTTTTATATCTGTACATAACACACAAGAAAAATGTCTATTGGAGGTTATGCAAAATATTATGTGCCTTTTCATAGTATCACTGCAAATTTAAATAATGTCAGAAGTAAATTTTCTAAGACCAACTGTCAAAAAAAACAAACAATAAAAGACAGCAACCATTACTAGCAAAAGAGCATCACCAATTTCATAATGAGACAAAGATTTCCTACAACTGCAGTAAATCAGTTATCAGACAGGTACAAGGGGCCAACAACACCAAAGACAATACAACACTCCACATTACAAGCCAAGTTAAATCTAATTAATTGAGATGTTGTTTAAGTATATCCAAGAAACAATGAATTCCTATAACAGCCACCAGGAGCGATAACACCCTTCATTACTCCATGCAGTGCTAAGGAATGTGCATTCTAAATCTAAAAAAGAACTTGTGTTACCATCGGGAAACCAAGAAAACCTTAAAATAAATTACTACCGCATAAGTGGCCACCTAGTGACAACAGAGTGATAACGTCAGCCCAACACTACAAGCCACTCTGCATGTTACCAATGTATAGGTGCTACAAATAAGAGACTCCTTCTCTTGATGGATAAGAAGGGGCAAACATCATCCCAGAACAATACAGTAAACAATAAAATGACCAGGCGTGTGTAATCCTAATCTGGGACAAATATGTTATGAAGGCAATGTCAAGATGTTTTATCAAAACAAGACCTTCCTTAAATAAAAAACAAAATCCTGAAATAGCCATAAAGGGACATAAAAGCACTGCAAGATGCCAAGGAATAGTTGTCTTTCTGGTTAAAACACTATTAAGATACATCACCAGGACATAAAAGTCCCTTCTTAAAATCAAAACAACTCCTGTAGCAGGGAGCAAAATGAAGGAATGAGACTGAAATCACATACAGTATTCTTACTGAGCCAGAAACTGACTCCTGTGTTATCTACTACTGTAAGTCTACAGGTTGGAACTAGGAAACCCAGGAAAACCCTCAACATAATGGTTGGGACTAATCCATTAATTAGGCACAGCATCTCCTCATTTCAACCACATCTCTTAAAAATAGATATTAGAAGTAATAATTCTTGTCTCATACACCAGCAGGGCACAAGGGACAGTACCTAGTGTGTGTAGTAAAGTAAACACACTTTCTTCTTTACAGCTATAAAGAGCTCAAGAAATATATTGTACCTAACTATATTGTTAAAACCAGTAATAGCATGAAAGAATTCAATGAAGCTACAGCAAGAGAACTAAGTAATTTTCTATATAACTAACCAATGAAAGTTGACGTAATCCATCAGTCTAAGTATTTAAAGGCAAAATAGTGGCAAAAGCCACTAGAAGTGAGCTATGACACCGTCCTGAATCATCGAAGCTACTGGACTATCAGGTCCCGGAGTAGAGGGGTCCAACCTGCACTGTACAGAGTGATATACCTGATCACTGAATTATTCCAAGTGGCGAATGTTGAGGCTTACTTAAGTTTCCAATCTGTAGACTTGAGTATATGTATATACATACATACATATACATATATATATATATATATATATATATATATATATATATATATATATATATATATATATATATATATATATATATATATATATATATATATATATATATATATATACAGTATATATATTACTCATAGACAAACAAAGTATATAGACACCAATATATACATATTCACACACAAACACTCATGTTTATACACAAAGATGAACAACCAAAAACTGACACACAGACAAACAAACCCAAATATAAATATGTTCATGTATACAACCATTCATACTTAAAAGAAGCTCCTATACAAATGCCCACATATATACATATGATAGATTTTAAATATCAATATCCCATTTTCAAATCTAAGATTTAAATTTATTTCAAGAGAACTGAATGAACTTCATATATTGCATACTTCAGCCATAATCATACACTTGAAAAATACTGATTTACAGGTGAAGAGTTTTGTTAATCCTCAGTTCTAAATGATTAAGATTTGATACAAAACACTTTTAATAAAATCCTTTTAAATCTTGAACTCATATACTGATTCCAAGATTATGAACATGAAAAGCTGTTCACATTTCACAGGCGATAATCTTCATAAAATCTAAAGGAAATACTTGAACAAATTCTAACATCATTAATTATACAGTATCTGGAAACTTAATAAGAAAAAAATCAACAATGAAAAAGTAAACATTTCACTATGAAAATTTCAATGCCACAAAATCGAGACAAATTATAGAGAATTAAGGAATAATAATCAGATAACGTACTTATGTTAGGCACAACCTATGCACACGTTTGATAGTTGTAATTCCTATCCTGTGTAGTTAATTTACATATTCAAAATAAATTAAGGAAAGATGTACCTTTCATCTCGGCATTTACCTGAACTGATATAATACAGTACCCTGTATACAAATTAAATTTCTTAGTTTTTCTTCACACTATACTTTCTTCCTCTTACATTTTTGGGGGTTAATTAACAGCCATTCCTGTTAAGCATCCTCTAATACATTACAATATTTTCTTATTAGTTTAAGCTTTCTGGATGAATAAGGAATATACAGTTCCTCCTGACCATGAAGAACCTATGGATTATCTATTCATGATAATGCCACCCTCCCCCCCCTTCTTTTATATACAGTACCATTTATTTTTATCCAAATTAAGCATTTTTTTTATAATTCTCTCTTTTTTTCCCTTAATCTCATTTTTCTTTTTTAGAGTTTTTCCTTCCCCACTGTCCCAGTAGATCTTACCTTGAGGCCCTTGGCCCTGTTGATAGCACGGAGAGGCCTGAGGACACGGAGTACACGGAGGATCTTCACCACCGAAATAGCTCCATCCCTGAGGGAGACACTCACAAGTTAATTTCAGATACGGGAAGGGACAGAGACCTTATGGATGTGAAAGAAACAATTAACTAATCACTTAGATGAAATGTTTTGTGAAAAGATTCTGATATGGTAGAGAAACAAAAGAATATCTGGATGAAACAATAGAGGAAATATTTCATACTGGATAAATGAGGAATAGGAGACCATTCACTGAAGGCAGAGAGAAATCAACAGTTCAATGATATAATGGGAAGTCAGATTAGAAAATATATTCTCATGATACTTGAAAGAGAATAAGACCTAATGAATGAGTAAATGGCAGAATAATAAGAAGAGAGGGGACACATGAATATATTACCTGAGAAAATATAATGCATAATTCTGTGAGACAAGATACAGTACACTACCATTTATGAGAGGAACACTTAAAATAATTATAAAGGAAGAACCTGGATGACGTTTCCTACAATACAAGAAGGGAAATGGAGAAGATGGAAATTTCCTGAAGATACTGAAAGTACTGTACATAAAAGAAATATAAATAAGAAAACTATTAGATAAAACAGGTGAAGAGTGGAACAAAGACTGAGAAGTACTGCAATATACAGTCCACAGTATTGTTTTGTTGGAGCAGTCAAATAGATTGATCTCCATTCTTATGCTGTGTAGAAGAGGAAAATACCAGATTATATGTGAGGGTGTACAGTAGTATGTCTCTTTACCGGACTAATTAACGCATCTGACGGTCCAGAAGAGAAAAAACAAAAATAAATTCTGGCACTCATGTGTTGGTATACTTCAGACTACCAGCACATATTAAAGCCTTAGGTTAAGTATTACAGGTATAAAGTTATATTAGAATTATCTAGGTTAATATTCTTTTTTAATAGACCCCAGTTCTTATGTGCCTCATGTCCTAATAGGTCTCAGTCTTCATAAGCCCTAGATGTTGATGGCATTTCATTTGGTTTAAGGCTCAATATTAACTCTATTATTAAAAGAGGGTCTCATGAAGACATAAGACCCCTTGGGCCCCAAGTACGAATGTACGACAAACTTAATGTTTCATTACGATTAGAGCATGGAACCAATTAGCCTCTCAGCTAAGCACCCAGATGATGGAACATTAATACAGTACGGTAAATGTGAATATTTACTGGTAATATAATGTTATATTATTTTGATACAATGAATACCGTATTTATACTGTACAGTATTTGAAAAGTTTTGATGAAATATATATCGTATTCTACATTTTGAAGCTTGATGTATTTATGCTGTAGTTGCAGCCATAGTGAGCGTTCGGGCGAGAACAAAAGAAATGCTGTTGTTAGGTTTAAGGAAAACTTAAATAAGGCAATTTAAGATAAAAGGCAGAATAAGATTCAATAGCACTGTCGAGGAAGCCGCGTGAGTTTCAAATAGTTTTTCTAGATAATCATTGACTTGTGAGGAGTGCATCTTCCATAGTGATGCATGTAATATGCAGGGAAATGCAGCAATTGGTCTTGCCATATGAATGCATCTAAATTATTAAACATATTTTTAGTAATACGTTGTCACAGGACAGAGGATGCTTTGCCTAGATGTTTGAAAGAGGGCCATTTGTAACTTGGGGACTTCCTATAAGTAAAGTTTATTGTATTGTGTTTTTATCTACTACAGAGCAGTTGCAGCACAGTAGTATAATGGTAAATAGGCTTTATTGGACCAGACTCCCCAATTACCATAGTCCAATACAGTGAGATTCCACAAAATTGACAATTAATAAGTAGTGTCAAGATGACATCAAAGCAACCAGAGAAACCCCCAAGTGGTGATGCGAAGGTCAAAATTGACCTTTAATTGACAAATCAGGAAGGTTTAGCTAAGTAAAAGTTCTGAAAATCTTAATAGTTCTTTGATAATATCACTGGACACTAATGTTTGCATTACAAGTTGTTCAATCATCAAAACGATCATTTTCTGCTGGAAGTTTCAGTGTTTACATCTAGTCATCCTATACATCAGATATCAGTGCATTGCTGAATGGTCGACAGTGCTGATGTAACAGAGGCTCCAAGGTCAACTCATTGCCTGCCTCATGATGCCGGTTTATATAACCAAGGTATCTTTCACTCGTTCATAATAGCTGTATGTAACACAATCACATCCAAAACACATTACAAACAACAATATAATGATTTTAACAATACTGTAAATGTATGTTAATATTTTTGTTTGGCACAAACAGGATGCAAAATATCTAAACATAATAAAATTTGCAAGAGTCCCCGCCATCAAATCAGAATTGCAGAAAAATATTAATGTATTATACCGTACAGTATACGGCACATTAATACTTCTGTTCTTTACATACAGAGAGTAAAACTATATTTAAATACAAGGCAATATAGTATTTGGTAACCCTGCTGATTTTACTCATCTTGTACAGCCCTACTACTGAGCAAAATTTTTACTGTGCTTGTAATATTTTTTGAGGGGAACATAGTTACCCAAAAAGGTGTAATCATGTCTTACAATGTTCTGGACATGCAGGTGTCTAGTAATGTGACATACTACTGTATCCATGGGGACTGAAAATCAACTCTTAATTAATTTGCATTCAGAAAAAGACTTATGACACAAAATCTACTTGTGATAAAGTCAAACACCGTACTGTACTGTACTGTGATGCAAACTAATTATTTTATAAATAATAATTTCTAAGGCATTTTCTAATTTAATCTTTTAAATGAATATAGAGAAAAAGTGGTCTGGTAATAAAATTGTGCACTTTAGAGGTAAAAAAGCCAAGACAACTGGTTTGGGATTTTGAGTAAAAAAATCTTTTGGACATTAAAGGTCACAAAATTGCAAGTACTGGACCTCATAAAGTGTAAGAAGGAGTGAAATAAGATGAGATTAAGAAGGCAGGTAACAAGATATGAAGTACTGGCCTGAGTTTAAGACACCCAGTGATATAAAATATTTATTATTGAGACAAAGAAATGGAAGTATGATTTTACTGCAAGTGACTTTTACCTAACATATTGGTATCAATGTTGATTTATATTACAAAAACAAAAACATTTATATCAGCAAGAAAGTTAAGCTTAACATATTAATGAGCCAATGTGAATAGTACACTTGTACAAACAAAACTATTATTCAACAGGACTGGAAAATCAGGGTGTCAGCACATCTCAAGATGATGCACGGAAGAAACAGGAATCATAGTCATGGCAAGAATAAAGACAAGTGACTTAAATCAACAATAAGTATACACTAGAGAAAGATGAGTAAACTAAAACTTTTATGACTCTAGACTTATGATTATTTTAGAGCAGAAGACTTATAGTAATATGGTTTACTTTTACCAGAAAGATATTACTTTTGAGTCATGCAATTTAGGCTACAGTACAGTATATGGATTAAACATGTGTTATCTTTTAAAGCACCAATATCATTCAAATTACTGGAAGATCTTTTTTTAAGAAAGTTTTTGTTGAAGAAAACGTGGCATATCTACTTTTAGCATATGCGTGTAGTGATATAGTCACTGAAACCAAGTGATAGAATCATAACTTACTGTAATATAGCTCAAGTATTTCCAGGTATATCTTGCAGCCCTTAACACTTTACTGAGTATAAGCTATAACCCTTAAGGTAAATGTCACTACTAAAACAATTTTGAAAATACATCATTGGAACTTATCATTTGGCTTCATCATTTCTAAATTAGGCATAGTCAAATTTGCAATCTTTATTTTTACATAAATAATTGAAATTTGTTCAGCAGTACCACACTCTGACTACAATTTTTCATACAAAATCAAACATACAGTAATCCCCTGAAATTTGAGCATGCATTAAAATTTTCTTATGAGGCATGGTAAAAAATTTTAAAGAAATTTTGGATTTGAAAGACCAAGAATATTTATGGCAAAATCAACCGAGTAAAGTACGAAAACTACTTTACTTTATATAATTATGAAACATATAAAACGGTGGCATGAACATACAGTATATGTGTGTGAAAATAGATGACTAAGTACAAAATTCCATGTTATGACCTAAAGGAAAAAATGAGTGACCTGCAAGAGCCAGACCAATACACAACTTGCTGGGTAAACCTACCTTTACCGGAAGTTTAACATGTTTAGAAGCAGAATGGATCCTTTAGAGGACAGAGTTTTGCTTCAAAAAGCTTCTCATCTTGTTAAATTAAGGTTAAGTTAGTGCTTCAAAAATATAATCCAGTGGTTGTCTCAGGACCAGTGGGTCTTCAGTCCAAAGGTCAAAATTGTCAGAAGTTTCATGTATTTAGAACTACCTTTCAGCCATATATATAAAAAGTAATTCACACTTTAACCCTTTCAGTTTGCATAAATTTGACCTCATCTTGGGAACAAAGAGGGTAACCAGGTCACTTGTTTTTGTCTTGTTTATAAACAGAAGAATGATCCTGAAATACCTCTCTGTAGTAGAACTCAAAGCAAGGTAACTCAAGTCATCAGACAGGTTAGGATGTCTCAATGTCTTGAATTAGAGTATATAACACAGCAATTGTTCTGAAGGACCGAGGGTCTTAAGATTCACAATCATCCAGCTAAGCACTTTAGTGTCATGGTAACTGATTCCATTATCTATTATTTCATATAAGTCCAACCCAGCCTGTACAAATCTGAGCTCTGGGTTTAGCTGACTGCTCACAATTCAGTTCCTGCTGACTAGTCACGGTTTCACTATAAGACAGAATCAGGTATATTGTATAACCAATACCCCATTACTGACTAGCTAGCACCCTTTACCATGTGACTCGCATTATAATAAACCATTTAAAAAAATTCAGAGGGAAGGAGCTGTTATACAAAATAGGCTGCAGGGGTGGACAGTATGAGAGCTGATCTGTTGTGTAAATGGTTCAGGAATTCAATAATCCTTAGATCTCCTACAGTACGCATCTTATGTTCTATAGAATTATCCAAGACAGTAGTATACCCTTTGGAATACAAAGATCTATAAAAC